TCCCACTCTATATTCCTCTATGAAAGTTACTCTCAGGCAAAATAACTTCCGCAATGCGTGGAAAAGAGAGATATGGCCAAATGGTGCCCTCGTATCTCGGTTTTTTGCCAAGAGGAGGAACCTGTCACAAACAGAGGAGACAGTTCCTCAGAGAAAATGAAAACTAAATCAAATATAAATATAAGTATAAATAAAACTGTTTCGCAATCAAAAAATCCCACTTCCACTTATGTTTCAAGTAACCATTGTCAGGTCTACTACCAAAATGTGCGTGGTCTAAGGACTAAGACTGAAGCTTTTTATACCAACCTGTTGACAATGGATCCCGATATAGTGACACTGACTGAGACTTGGCTATGTGATGGAATTTTCACTCAAGAGCTGATTGATGAGAGGTACACGGTGCTAAGAAGAGATAGAAGTACTGCTGCTAGAGGTGGAGGCGTTTTGATCGCTTTCGACAGAAGATTCCCTTATGAAATTATTGATAGTAATGTTGACTGTAATGTTGAATGTATTCTTGTAAGGTTGAAGTTGAAAAAGTATAATGTTATTGTCTCTGTTGTATATTTCCAACCAAACTCTAGTTTGGAAGTCTATAATAGTTTTTTTAATCAATTTGAATGTCTTTTAGATGACGAGCGGACAGGAGTATTGATATTGGGTGATTTTAACCTCCCTTTTTTTGAAATATGTGATAATGATAAAAACACCTTGCTTACTGAGTTCCTTAATCTCAATAATTTGAGACAGTTGAATAACATTAAAAATTTTAGGGACAGGTGCCTGGACCTGGTTTTGACGAACATGGAGATACCGCAAATCACTAGGTCTGTGCAGCCACTAGTTGCAGAGGACCCCTATCATCCTGCACTTGAATTTGGAGTTCCAACGAAGGATAAGTTGGTAAATTGTATATCCAAACAGTATGTATATGATTTCCCAAAAGGGGATTTTCTACTTCTATACAATCTTGTGAAAACCTGTGATTGGACTGAAGTACTTTCAATTACAGATGTAAATATGAGTCTCAATTTATTTTATAAAAAGGTGTATGGTCTTTTAGATAGAGCTATTCCAAAGAGACAAATCAAACATTCTTCCAGTAAAACCCGTTATCCACGGTGGTATTCCATAGATCTGATTCACAAAGTCAAGGAAAAGAATAAGCTTCATAAGCGTATATTGAGTAAGTGTGCTGATCCATCAGTGCAATTGCACTTTAGTGAATTAAGACAATGCATCAAGCTGCAGACCCAAGCAGAATACAACCTGTACAAGAATAATGTGGAACTTAACCTAAATTCAGATCCCAGTTCATTTTGGCAGTTTTTGCATGAAAAGAGCAAGAATCGAGGGATACCGGGGGAAATGAAATTTAATGAGAAATTGTACTCGGGTTCTGAGGATATAGCGATGGCTTTTGCTCAGCATTTTGAGTCAGTATATGAAAGACCCAAAGATGTAAGTAAATACATGGGGAATGTAAACGGATGTGATTTTAAATTTTCAGATGTGTCAGAGTTGAAAGTTGTAAATAGTATTAAAAGGTTGAAGCCTAAAAAATCGACAGGGCCTGATCAGATCCCTGCCTATATTTATAAAGGATTGGCTGAGTTCATAGCTCTACCGCTCAAACATATTTTCAATCTTTCTATTGGAAGTGGACAATTTCCTGATGCCTTGAAGAATGCTCAGATTACACCTATTTTCAAGAAAGGACGAAAGGACGAAATTAGGAACTATAGACCGATTTGCCTCATTAATATTTTAGCAAAAATTTTTGAAACAATACTTTATGATGATCTTTCAGACTTTCTAAAACCTAAAATTTCTAAATACCAGCATGGATTCTTAAATGATAAGTCAACAATAACAAACCTCTCTATATTCTCGGAAATGGCGGCTGAGGCGATCGCGAATAAGAGCCAGTTGGACGTCATTTACACAGATTGTGAGAAGGCTTTTGACAGGGTGGACCATGAGTTGCTGCTTTGCAAGCTTGCTGAGTTTGGGGTGTCAGAGGATGCTTACCATCTTGTGAGGTCATACCTAATAGGCAGGGTCCAGACAGTGAGGGTCGGCGCTTGCAACTCTGAGGCGTTTGTTGCAACCTCAGGTGTCCCGCAGGGTAGTAAACTGGGCCCTCTTTTCTTTTTGTGTTTCATCAATTCATTGCCTGACTGCCTGAGGGACTCTATGGGACTTCTCTTTGCTGATGACTTCAAGCTCTGTAGGATTGTTGAGCGGCAGGAGGACTGCAGAAGGCTTCAGGGTGACATGGATAGGGTGATGGACTGGTTCAACAACAACAGAATGTCCCTAAATGTTAATAAGTGTTCTGTTGTCAGCTTTACGAGACGAACAAACCCAATAGAAGAAACATACAAGATTGGTGATACTGAGCTTGATCGTCAAACAGAGGTGAAGGATTTGGGTGTCTTTTTCCAGGCCAACATGAAGTTCAATAAGCATTTTCATCATGCTGTCAATAAAGCAGTAAAAGCACTTGGCTTTGTAATCAGGAATAGTAAGAACTTTAAAATAAGTACAATTATTAACTTGTATAATGCTCTGGTGAGACCACACCTTGAATATGCATCACACATTTGGATGCCATTGGAAGCCACGCATATTAATGAAATTGAAAAAGTGCAGAAGAGATTTTTGCGGTATCTCTATGTGGTTAAAAATAATATTTACCCATATATGGTTCCTTACAGGGATATGCTTGTTAGTTTTGAGATAAAGTCATTAGTGGAAAGAAGGAATAATCAGGCTGTGATATTTTTGTTTTATATTTTAAACAACCTAAAGTATAAGGATTGTAATTTAATTAACTATGTCTCCTTAATTGTACCAAAGATTAACTTAAGAATTATGAAAAACAAGAAATACTTTGGTACTGATCCTAGTAATAATATGTCACCATTTAATCGCATGATGACAGTTGCGAACCAAGCACTTAATGAGGTCCAGGTAGATCTTTTTAATGTAACTTTCAATCAATTGAAGGCCCTTTTAAATTAGTCATATATGTTTATATTGTGTACTCTATCTTTATTTCTGTGTTTTACACTTCGCTGTTTTAACTTTACATGTAATTACTATTTTTGGTGTTTGTAAAGTAATGAAATAAATAAATAAATAAATATACATATTATAAATCTTCCATAAAACCGAGCATGAAACCTAGTATGTGTGCATATACAGGGTGTCCCACGGTGGATGGCGTATTAGACGTTTATGGAGAACTAAAAAGCGGATCATTTTGAAAATTTGGCAACCGGGATAAACGACCATGATCTACACTTTAAAAATATTTTTGACCATGCGGTGTTGCCGCTTTTACTCTAAACTAGTGGCAACATCACTATTTTAAATGGAACACCCGTATTTAATTGCATATTTGGATTCTACGTGAAATTCTGAGCAGATTTCATGTGATATACCCTATACCTAAGCTCAACTGTTTTGGAAATATTGACAGTTGAAAATTCACTTTTTGCAACTTTGACAGGCTGTAAAACCTAATTGGTTAATTTTAGAGGAAAACCAATTTCACATTCCTATCTTAGATTTTGATAAACTATCATTTGACACCAACTTTGAACTTAACCAGAGATTAAATTTAACTGAAATTTTTAATCATGGATTTAATTCTAAGTTGGTGTCAAATGATAGTTTATAAAAATCTAAGATAGGAATGTAAAATCGGTTTTCCTCTAAAATTAACCGTTCAGGTCCTACAGCCTGTCAAAGTTGCAAAAAGTCAATTTTCAACTGTCAATATTTCCAAAACAGTTGAACTTAGGTATAGGGTATATCACATGAAATCTGCTTAGAATTTTACGTAGAATCCAAATATGCAATTTAATACGGGGTGTTCCATTTAAAATAGTGATGTTGCCACTAGTTTAGAGTAGAAGCGGCAACACCGCATGGTCAAAAATATTTTTAAAGTGTAGATCATGGTCGTTTATCCCGGTTGCCAAATTTTCAAAATGATCCGCTTTTTAATTCTCCATAAACGTCTAATACGCCATCCACCGTGGGACACCCTGTATGTTCTGGAAAACTTTCTATAATTTAACCGAGATTTAACAGTTGTTTACAGATTTTTTATAAAGAATAGTACAAGTTGGCTACTATACCTTAGTAGATAGAGCATGATACATAATCTAAGCATTATACCACAGGTTTATAAATTTTTTATGTCAAGCACTTTTGACCATACTAGGTCATCATCAGGACCGACACTAAATACAAAATCTTAGTCCAAATTAAATAAAATGAAGTAACAATTACTTGACAAAAATGCACAGAAAAATACATTCCGAAAGGGAACATTGCTATAACAGATATTAAAAAACACTTTTAATTCTATCGCGAATGGTAGACTATCATTTAATCGACTCAAAACTCGTTGTTAAAGTAACACTTTATTTGAAGTAGTAGAATCGAACAATTTTTACCCACTCATACATCAATTTTACCCACTTGTTCAAATCTTTTATAATAATTAAATATAGTGTATTTGACAGAAATCTGATATGTTGCATGATTGACAACACCAGAAATGTGTCAGTTTGTTAGGTATTTTGTCAATTTGTCATAATCTACGTAAAATTTAAGCACATTTTGATTTATGATCTTACTAATTGTGATAAATTAAAAGTGGCTCAAGAATAAAATAGAATATTACACACGACGGTAAAAAAGCTTTACCTGTTCGTAAAATTAATCCACTCGCTCCTTCGTCGCTCGTGAATCAACATTTTCCACTCACAGGTAAAGCTTCTTTTTACCGTCTTGTATAATAAATAACTATAAACCTCACTTTATGACCTCACTCAATAATTTATTCAAACACTTCAATAATTAACTTAAGCAAAACAATAAAATTCCATGTAAACAGTTCTTTGTTCAGTTTCCATCAATTTTAAATTGATATTCCTATTTTATATGTTGCCTAAAGTGTTTATAAGTTGCAGACAAGAATGGAAAATCGGCTTGATATAATCCTATTTGGGGCAACAGGATTCACTGGGATCCATTGCATTCCATACATTGTCAAACATGCCAAGGAGAATGGTAGAAATATGAGCTGGGGCGTAGCTGGGAGAAGCCAGAAAAAACTAAAAGCTGCTTTGAAGGAAATGGGTGAAAAACTAGGTAAGAGTTTTGGAGTAATAATTCCAAATTGACCAAGATTTTTTTTTTATAGAAGCTAATTTTGATGAAATCCCCATCATAATTGCTGATGTAAACGACTACGATTCTCTGGTAAACATGGGCAAAAGAACCAAATTGGTCATAAATTGCTGTGGACCTTATCGCTTCTATGGAGATGTGGTTGTTAAGGCTTGCATTGAAGCTGGTGCTCATCATGTTGATGTTAGTGGAGAACCAGAGTATATGGAAAGAGTTCAGGTGGAGCAACATGATGCTGCTCTAGAAAAAGGCAAGTTAATGTCAATGTTATAACACTTAATTTATTATTGTTGATAATTTTTAGGAGTCTATGCCATTAGCGCTTGTGGACTTGACAGTATCCCCCTAGATTTAGGTGTGGTATTTTTACAAGAAAACTTTGAAGGTACTTTGAACAGTGTTGAAAGCTATCTAAAAACTTGGAGCGAAAGTGAATCTTCAGGGCCATCAGTAAATTATGGTACTTGGGAAAGTGCTGTACACAGTGTGGCTAATTCAAGCGAGCTGCGCAACATAAGGAAACTTTACAATGAAAAATTTAAAAGAACTCCAACTTATTCACCAAAACTACCTAAGCTCATTGCCCCACATCAACCGAAAGTTGGTAATGGTTGGGCATTACCATTTTTAGGGGCTGATAGATCAGTTGCTCGTAGAACCCAAGGATTTTTATACAACAATGACAATGTTCGTCCTGTGCAAGTTGAAACTTACTTTGTTTTACCTTCAATACTGCATGTTCTTGGAATAATGATATTTGGCCTAATTTTCAAGTTGTTTACTTCATTTAATTATGGTAGAAAGCTGTTGCTTGACTATCCTGAATTTTTTACTGCTGGATTTTTCAGTAAGCAATCTCCTTCAGAAGAAAAAGTGCAAAGCACTTGGTTTTCTATTGATTTTTACGGTGAAGGTAATAAACCAGTTTTTGATTTTAAAATGTTTTTCAAACTATACTATTGTGATAGGTTGGAAGGAAAAATTGACAGACAAAGATGACCAATATTCGAAACCAGTCGATCGATGCATAAAAGCACAAGTTAAGGGCAGGAATCCCGGATATGGCTCTACTTGTTTATCTTTGGTTTTGGCTGGAATTGTACTGTTAACTGAAACTGATAAGATGGCTAATAAGGGAAAGTAAGTACATATAATTAAAATCTGTTTTGTCCTATATAAAAAATATATGCTGTGGTAAAGCAGTAGAAAACATGGCTCCTCAATATTAAGCTATGAGCAGTAGCCCTAGATTATTTTCAGCTTCCAGAATAATATCTGAAAATTTGTCTTTGTTTCTTATGGATTGATTATTCATTACAAAAAAACTCGTATTTTTTGTTCATATATATTTCTATTTGTGAATCTAAAAAAGCATATTTTATAATTTTATGAGAAGACTAATCAAATTTGTTAACGTAATTCCCAAATTTGAGTCTTATTTTATCTAGACCAAGTTACCCTAGGACTTAATTAAAAAAACTGTCAGAGAATCTGATGTCAAATCAGAAACAGTACCCAAACCCTTTCTACTTAGGTGGGTGCGGACTGTTTCGCAAAAATGAATGAGTCAAGTCATGCCTGGTTAATTTTTCATGATGCTATAACTTGGTAACAAATAAAAAATTGATTACCATGTTTAAGTTATTTTATCAGCATGTATAGAATCTATACGATTCGCCCTGTAGAACGCTGATCACGCTTCTGAAGAAACTCAAAGAGACATAGAAATATTGAGAAGAGCTGTGTAAATGAATTCTATTATTAGTGTTCACCCTAAAATACATCTTTCGTCAAGTGTATTTTGACCCCACTCTTCAATTCAAAAAATTACCAATGCAGCAAAACTCAATGAAATTTTAATTTTCCAATATATAATTTTATTTATTTTTTTCAGAGGAGGCATATATCCTCCTGGTGCTGCATTTGCTAAAACATCTTTGGTAAAGCAACTGAATGAAAACGAGCTCACTTTCAAAGTATTGTCCCAGGAGGACATCAAAAATTAAAGCCTTGTTAGAAATTGGAATCTTTTTTGCTTTTGTCTTGTTAATCATAGATTTTAAGGTTTGTTATTATAGCTGCCAAATATTTTCCTAAAAAAAAAATTGTTGACAGTCCGAAGCAAACACAGTCACGACAAGACTGAGAAAATAAAATAAAAGAGACTGATAAATGCATTTGAAAATTTATTTTTGGGAGATTACTAATTATTATGTTAAATGTTTCTATAATAATTTATGTTAATAAACTATAAGGGATATTTTGCATTTTTATTTCAAATAAGTAAAACAGCATCATTTAAACAAGTCACATATACTTGAATTACATACAATGTAGGTATTACGGTATTACTTCATAGACAACTTGCGACATAACATAATCCATAATGAGTATGATAATTATTATTATCCATTCAAGTAGTAGTTTTGGAGTTCGAAATAGCAAGTTTAAATGTTTAAAAAGAGACTAGTGTGAGAACTTTTGTAGTTCTAGGGGTTTCGTTTTATAAGGGGGAACAAATCCAAATTTATTTTGTTGAACTGAACAAAGCCCTCGCGCTAAACAAGTTGCCTAGGGGCCTTAGGTTAACATGTGGTATATTGTATTTGTTATCCCCTCATTGGTGGGTAGAAATAAAGAGATTTTTTGCACATAGGTATTTCAGTAACTTGTTCGAGTGTCGAATCTGGCCCAAAGGGGCCCCGAATCGCATAAAGTTATCTTATTCTTCTCCGACTCTCTCGCATAATTTCGTATTTCCCATTGCATGTACTGCGTTTTATCTTTGTTTAACTTATTTTACTACTCGTCAAGGTCAAAGGCCCCGTTAACCGGCCTCCCTACTGCATGCGCAGGCAAAGTATACAAACAAACAATACCGGCTTCTGGCATTTGCATTCATACCAATAAATACCATCATCGATAACTTTACTCAGTCATAAAACGAAATATTTTCACAGCATAAATAGTTGTTATTTTTGTCGATCAAGCTTTTCTCATTTCTGTGCTGTTTTGCTCTGAAACGGATATTACTTAGGTGAGTAGCTAATCAATTGTATCTCTTTAACCCTGTGAAAAGCAGAAACCCCCTAATATGGGGGCCGAGACTGAGCCACTTTTTATTGGCCCTATCCCCTTTTTCACAGTTCTCACACTATTTTAATTCCCCACAGGGGGCAACAAATAACCTTTGAAACCATGCAAAAAACATGCAAGTTGTTGAACCAGTTAAACTAGAACAATCAACGCTAGAACCAAATAAAATAGAACCTTCTATAATTTGAATAGTAATGCTATAATTAAAGACAATTATTATTATCATTTCATTTATTATTTTTATTTTTCACCGATTCGATTTCCAAAGGAAAAAAACATGCTTACAAGCACAATACTAAAATTAGACGTTTATTATTTATAGAACTTGCTTGTGTTTGTGTCTTCAATACGATATGGAAATTTTTCGACCTTGAATTATGACCCTGCACTTTGCTTTTGTAGTTTACCCAGGTCAGGTTTTTAAGATATGTGGGAGTTTTGCCAGTTTTTATTTGGATTATGTCCAAAACCAAGGTATACTAAAAGTAATCTTCCACAAACAACATTTCAATATTATTCTTGTGAATCGATTTTGTAGTTTTTGCAGTCACATAATTTCATTCTTGTTTGGAAGATATAAAATTGTTGTAGATAAATAAAATGAAGCAATCTTGAAGTATCTGTGTCAAATGCGCCCAAATACTCTTTTAATTAGTTAGGTGGTAAATGGCAAATTAAAATCCAATTTTTTGCCAGTACAAGTAATAAATAAAATTAATTCTACAGTCGGACAGTCAAACTTTTGTAAGATTCACTAGCTAGGACAAAGCTAGAATATGCATCAGTTGTATGGGACCCATGTATCAGAGGTCAATCCATGCAATAGAAAATTGTGAAAAGAAATTTTTGAAAAGATTACACTTTAAAAGTTGCGGGGTTTAGTGGGTTTACCCAGTAATACCAAATATGTACTCAGATGTAATAAAAAAGAACAGTGTATAAAATGTAAAATAAATACTTAATTATATACAGATACCAAATATGACAAAAAAAAACTCAATTGTGAGCTAAGCCCGATAGTGACTTAATTTCCAGATTATGACTAAAATACCAATCAGTGAAAAGATTGATTGATTTTGACTAATCATGCAGTGATTATTAATGTGCAGGAATTAAATAATTATTCTCGCACTAACAAGCAACATTGAGTTGCTTCTGTGTTAAATTGTTTATTTGTCAATAGCTAAGTACCTATTCACCTGTTATACCTTTATTGGATAACTTTGGATAAATAATAGTTAATGTTATTTATTTACGACTAATGTATAATGTGCGTATTATATTTGTGATTTTGGCAGTATAATGACATATGTTATTCCTCCAGGGATTAATGACGAGTAGCGGGATTAATGGTCATTATTCCACAAAAGTGTCAGTGTCAAACGTGTAGTGCTTGTGGATTTGTATTGAAAATTATGAGACGGATGAAATTTGTTCATTGAAAATCTCAAATAAATTAATTTGTCGTAAATAAAGTAGAGTATACTACTCGCAATAATGGCTATTATTCCCTCGGAATGTTACTCCCTCGCCGCTAACGCGGCTCAGTTCGTAATAATCCTCGGGAATAATAGCTATCATTATTGACTCGTGGTATAATCTACTATTATATCACTAGTACGGTATGAGCTTAATAACAGTAACGAGTGGGGAATATTGCCAAGACGAGGTCGTAGACCGAGTCGTGGTAATCACACGAGTGGTGTAATGAGCGTTACCGTACGTGTGATATACAACATTTTATGTACGACCCAGATTTTTTTTCATGTATTCGAAATGGTTTTAATTTGTCACAATAGATTATACAGTGTGCGCCATAAAGTTGGGTACATATGGGAAAATTCTTAATTATTCCTTTTTTCAAAAAACTTTTTTTGGGGATCGTTAGAGCATGTTCGATAACGAAAAAATCGATTATGACACATGTCATGTTATTTTTCTGATGACCAGAAAATGTGCAAATAGGGACATGGGTACAGTTATAGCGACACGACCGGCGTGTGTATTCCGCAAAACATTCGATTCGTTTGATATCAAACTTATGTAGTTTAGTTAAATAAAGCTATTTTTGGAATAAAATTAATATTTTCGTTTTCCATTTAATGGTATGGGTAAAATAAGTAGTTTTTTTTTTTTTTTCTCCGATTTGCTTCAAAATCGGCATGTGGAGTTCTTTTTGGATTCTGAACAACTTTTTCTTATAAATTTTTTTGATATCTTGCCAATTTTACCCATTTTTCGACATCAATATCAACTTTTTTCAAAATTCCCGCTAAACCGATAATCGCATGACATGTGTTATAATCGATTTTTTGGTTATCGAACATGCCCTAACGATCCCCAAAATAGTTATTTTCCTAACAAGTGCGCAAAGTGATACTTTCCCGCACGAAAAAGCAGTTAGACGAACGACGCGAAGCGGAGTTCGGATAAGCTTTGAGTGCGGGAAAGACACTTTGCGCAAGTGTTAGGAACAATATTTTTTCTACGAATATCTTAAAAAAGTAGACTTTGAATTATTACAATATTAGAAAAATCAATCAAATCAAAATCTTCAAAAATCGTTTAAAATCTATTGGAATTCCTTAGAATGTCTTAAATTAAAATCCCAAAAAATGTTTTAACTTCTTCTGGAATTTCTAGAATACCAGCTAGAATATTTTCATGAGAGTCTCTCAAATATCAAAAATGGTACAAATTCCTAGCAGTACAGGCTGGTCCAATTTGGACACCTTTGATAGGAAACATCATGTTAACTAAGCGCTAATATCAACTAAAACCCTTCATTATGAATATTAGTTTATTCAGAAACCATCAAAACATTGAAAAATCAAGTATAACTATGGTAATTATGCGTAACAAAAATGAGTGCGCAAAGAGTTTCCGTGCGCAAAGTTCAACTTTGCGCACGCAAATGAGTGCGCAAAGTGATTACTTTGCGCACGCAAGTAGAAAAAAGTTTTTTGAAAAAAGGAATAATTAAGAATTTTTTCTTATGTACCTAACTTTATGGCGCACACTGTATATATAATTTTTGATAAATGAATGTTAAAAAGTGATGTTTTCCAACAGCGGCGGATTTAGGATTCCTTCTAGGGGGGGGCGCTCCATCAGGGCCTCAGGCTCAGATAAGAGATAATAAAAAAACGACTTAAATATATAATATATTTATTATCTATTATTTTTTTATTTACTGAAACACATTAAAAAAACACGCATTCTGCTTGTATATTTTAAAAAAATAATATAACATAAATAAAAATAGTAAGGGGTTGTTGCACCAACATAATAAATCTACGTTTAACGCAAAACCCGGTTTTTCAGATCAATTTGTCGACAAATTGATCTTGACACTTGACAAAATAGTTATTTATGATATAAGTGCTAAAAGTGACATTTTATTTTGTGAAAAGGGAAGTTTGGGACACGACGCCGAAGGCGGAGTGTTCCATCCCTTTGAACAAAATAAAATCACTTTTAGCACGAATATCATACACTATTTTTTCTAGAAACGCACTAAAAGTGATTACTTTTAGCACTAGTGCTAAAAGTAATCACTTTTAGCACCAGTGTCATAAAATGGCATTTTAGACACTGACAGCATCCGTTAAAAATGACACTTTTAGTGACGTTTGTAGAAAAAACATATTAATACCAATACCAACGGAAAAAGTTGAAAAAATAAACTAAATAACAAATAAACTAAATAACAAATAACCCAGTACTACTAAATGACAAAATCAAGTCTTCTTTTTTTAGAAGAAAAAATACTAATAATTTTATTTTTATCTACGTTTATATCTCGGTGAACATATAGTAAAGCCAGACCATTAAGGCGATCTTGTGCCATTGTAGCCCTTAAATAGGATTTTATAATCCTAAGAGTGGAGAAGCTTCTTTCAACTGTGGCCTCAGAAACTGTCATAGTACACATTAGTTTCAACAAATTACATACATTTGGATAATAATTCCTGTCACAGTTTCTAAAAGCTTCAAGAGCATTATCCGTGACAGATGAACTCTCTTTATATAATAGTACCTCGCCCATGAACTGCATTAGTGAAGGGCTTCCTAATAGTTCGCCAAAGTTTCTTAATAAGGTCTGTAAATGGTTAATTAATACTTCATTATCAGATATTTGTTTGAGGGTATTGGGAATTAATACATTTAAGCCAAAAATGGAAATATCACTCTCATTGAAACGACTTTTTAGATCGACAATTAAATTGTCCAAAATCGGAATAAATAAGACTCGCTTCCAATAATCAATGGGTGATATCTCTTTGAAATCGGAAAACGTATCCCTCTTTGTTTGTCTACCACAGAGTCGAGGACATTTAAGATCTACGTCTAGTTTTTGAAGGGTTTCTTTGGCCTGTCTAACAATTACTGACGTGAAGTAATCATCGGCATCTGCACGTTTTTTTTTAGGACTTCGACAAGATCTTTTATTTTGTTTGATGCTGAATTTAGGTCAATATTGCAACCTTGAAGATATTTGCTAAGGGGTAAAGTGATGCTAAATATGTCCGATAAACAAAACATGGTTAGTATGATCTCACAATCGCATAATGATTTAAGTAAAATATTGGCTTTAGATGAAGAAGTATTATCGTTCCACTCCAATATTTCTGTGAATGTTTCTACAATAAGTGGTAAATCAGACGTAAATTGCAGAATAGAATCATGTCTTTCTATCCAGCGTGTTTGACAAGGACTCTTTAGTTTACATTTTAAATATTTTTGAAGCACAAAGTTTCTTTTTGCCGAAAGATGAAAAAAAGTTACTACTTCCTGAACGACACCAAGTGAGTTTTTCACTGCCTGTACTTTGAGCGAACGGGATAGAACTAAATTTAGGCTATGATTGAAACAAGGACAAATCCTAGCATTCTGGGCACTTTTTTGAATTTCTTGTGCAGCACCTTTTACTTCAGACAT